GCCCCTGGATGAGCCACCCATGGCTCTATCCCACAACCCGCCCCTGCCCCACTCCCTTCTTCACAATAGGGGGCTCAATCTGCACCCCCCTCCACCTTCCTTCTCTACCTACCTCTCCCCCTCCACAGACTTATCTGCTGGGCGCTGCACTATGTGCTGCTGGGTTGCATTCCTATAGGATTACATGAAAGGGGCAAAGGCCTGGCTAGGGTAGATCAGGGAGAGGGGAGCCTGAACCCGCCCCTGCCCCACTCCCTTCTTCACAATAGGGGGCTCAATCTGCACCCCCCTCCACCTTCCTTCTCTACCTACCTCTCCCCCTCCACAGACTTATCTGCTGGGCGCTGCACTATGTGCTGCTGGGTTGCATTCCTATAGGATTACATGAAAGGGGCAAAGGCCTGGCTAGGGTAGATCAGGGAGAGGGGAGCCTGCGAGCCGTTGTACTGGGTGCAGGTGAGACCTCCTCTGAAGCACTCAGTGCAGTTCTGGTCGCCCGTGTGCTGGAAAGATGCTTTTAGGCCAGAAGGAGAGCAGAGATCAACCGCTTCAGGGGATGGGAGACCCTGACTGATGGGCAGAGACTGGGAGCTTGGGCTTTTTTTATTCTTTGAAGGCCCTGAGGCTGAAAGGTTCATGGAGAACAGCTGGTTCCCCTACCTCTGGAGGGTCGGGGTTAGGGAGGGAGCACAGCTTTCTAAATTAAGGATAAGGTCAGGGCAGGGTGGCACCTTAGAAACCAGTGAGTTTAGACGGGCATGAGCTTCCATAGCCAGCAAGCTACTTTATCCAGGGCCAGTCTATTGTCAGGCTGGCAAATACAGGCTGGAAAGTTGAAGGCTTCTGACCATCGGAGCAGCATGTCTGGAACTGTCTGCTGGGAGGACTGAGTCCTGTTAATGTGTTTGCCTTTGCCCTGTGCTATTGCCTTCGCTTTGAGCTGAGGTCACAAAATGCAGTGAGGAGGAGGAGAAAGGGAACAAACCCACCCACCCTTTGTGTTAACAGTTTCAGGCACTCGGGCAGGGTGGAACAGGACCACGCTCAGGTGCCAGGTAGGTAGAACAGGATCTGGCCCCTGGGGTACCTGCATTGCAGACAGAAGCTGGCCAGAGGGGTGCAGAGAGCAACAAGATTCAGCGATGCACATATTCCAAGGGAAGAGTTTTTGAACATGGGTGTGAGACCTGGGCAAATGGGGAGCTTCACATGTTTCCTCATATGTGAGGACATGGTGGAGAAAAGGGGGCATGTTGCCAGGTTGTAGGTCAGTCGTTGCTGCTGGAGAGCAGAGAGGAATTTCACTTCGACCACAGAACCACAGCTAGTGCTTTGTAGCGGGGAGAAAAGGGGCTGGGAGGGGTGGGACGCATCTTGGGTTAACGATCAACGTGGTCAGAAATACCTGGGAAAACCCTACAAGGCAGGTGGTGCTGAGAGTGGTTTTGCCTCCCAGACTCTTGCCCTGTTGGAGCGGGTTCTGGGCCAGTTAAGATCAAAGTGTATTCGAGGTGTGTCCATGGGGCGCTACAGCACGAGCCTGTCCCCTTTGCCAAGTTGCAGCTCACATCAGGGATCAGTCTGTGTCAAGTCAGCTGAATCTTGTTGACCGATTAACAACCATAGAAAATGCAAATGAGACGATGAAGGGAGGTGGTAACTAATGTCCTGTCTTCTATTTATTCCCTGCTAGAGTGTGAGCCCATCGACACCACCGGACACAAATGTAGAAATGAATCCATTACAGCGCCTGCGCACACTGCTGTGCTCCTGCGCTTTGTTGTTCAAGACACGGTTGTGGATCATTTAAAAGCTACTCTTAACTGGCAGACTGATTCGCGGGAAGTTGTGCATGCCTATCACGAAGGCAAGGACCAGCTGGACAGACAGGCAGAGAGGTTTCGTGGGCGAACCGAGGTCTTTCCCAAGGACATTCGCAGTGGCAATGCATCTTTGTTGCTGAAAAATATATCCTGGAATGATACACGAGCCTATTGCGCTTACTTTTTCCTCAGTGATGATGGAAAGCATAGTGAATGCTGCAGCATCCAACTTCACGTGTCAGGTATGTCTGTGCAGTAACCCTGGCTTAGGAAATGTGCTCTTACATGCCTCAGCAGAGACTAATTTAATGAATCTTGCTCATAACGCACAGGAGCTTGCGTTTTGAAGGGAGCTGCTATTCCCAGTACAGGTACTAAGTGTAAGAGTTGGGCTGTTGTCCGCTTCCTAATAGTGTTTAGGAGGAGGCCTCATGGCCCCAAGCTCAGTCCAGCTTTGAAAGCGCAGTTGGTGATACTGTCTCCCTGCTCCTCCCCCTGCCCTCCCCGCTTCTCCCAAATCTGTAGCTTGAATGTGGGACTCTAAGCACGAGGCTCTTCATATTTTGAGAAAAAGGAAAGTGAACTTTATCCTTTCTTTAGCTCTTCTGCCTTCCTGTGCCACCCATAGTTTTCATGCCAATGCAGTAGATCTGCCTCTTCTCTGTTCAGCCCCCGTCCACACGTTCTTTCTCTTCTGCCTTCCTGTGGCAGGGTCCTGGATGCATCTGCCACTTTGAGCTTAAGTGGGGAGGAGTGTGGCAGGCCACTTGATGTGCTGCCACTTGAAGAGGTCAGGCAGCCTGCGGAGCCACCAGCAGGTTGGGGGTCAGGGCTGATTGCTGAGTCAGATGACCCAAGGGCTGGCAGGAGAAGGATCACGTGAGTGCAAGGGAGCCTCCTGGTTGGAGGAGGGCGGGGTGTAGATGGGGTCTGAGCCCAGACCCTGAGAGCAGGGCTATAACATCTTGGGAGCTGGTGGAAGAACACCACCCAGCAGGAAGGCTGCAGCTCCTAAATGCCAGCTAGGAGAGAGAGGTGGAGGTTTGGGTAGCAGCTCAGGGGATGGAGAACCTGGGGGCCCTGGGAAGTGGGGCTGAATGCCCGAGCATAGGGAGAGCCCAGGTAAGGCCTGAGACAGAGACTGCGTGCATCAGGGCCTGAGCAGCTGTGAGACCTAGTTCAGGGCTCGGGTGAACCTGGTGAGGGTGGCAGGGTGTGGGACCCTATTGCAAAGGGGCACACAGAAGAAAGGGGCTGCATCCAGGAAGATCTATAGAGGGCCCTGAGACTGCAGGAAGAGGGAGAGCGACTTACAGAGGGGCCTGAGAAGATGGACCTGTGGATATGAGGGGGCTGATGGCCAGAGAACTGACCCTGAGCACCTCAACTGGGCCAAGCTGGGGTCAGGGCCCAAGTGGGGCTGATGGGTGCATCCAGAAGCCCAGTGAAGGGCCAGGGAAGACCAGGACTGCATGGGTCCAAAGGGCTGGGTGGGTCTGAGAGGCCTGAGCTGCATAGTGAGGTCCAGCGAGCGTAGTGGGACCAGAGGGTCCAGCAAGGGCCGGGAATGGAGTGCAGGGCCAGACGGGTCCAAGGGCATGAGCAGTGCAGCCCAGTGAGGGGCTGGAGCAGGGGGTCGGACCGGATGAGTCTGGAGGCCTGGAGCATGTCTAGGAAAGTGGAGAACTGAATGGGTCCAGGGCCAGGGACCAAAGAGCAGCTGACAGCCCTTGAGAGGGGCCAGGAGGGAGCTCGAGGAGCCTGGCAGCCAGGGGAGTCGTCGTGTGAGACCGAGGGGCCAGAGGAGAGGCTGAGGGGTCTGGCAACTTGAGTGGGGTCAAGAGTGAGATGGAGGAGCCTGAAAGCCTGGAGTGGGGCCGAGAGGGCAGAAGACCCAGGGAGGGGCTGGATCAGCAAGGAGTTGTTAATGGGATCTGAAGGCCCAGGCCCTGTAGTTTTTAGCTGTGAACATGTATCTCACGCACGCTTTCCAAATCCCTGCACACATGTAATGCACATGTATACTATACACACATGGGAGAGAGTGTGCACACTTCCACGCTCCATTGCCACCTCCTGTGGAAGGCATTGTGCCCACTCAAGTGTGTTGCAACATGCCTTCCTCGAGGGCTGGGTGCTGGAGGAGTGGGGGGTTTCCTTCCACGTGCTTCACAGAACATCCCTCCTTGTAATGATGCCTCAAATAGGGAGGAGGATTACCCAAGCGGTGCTGGGTGCAACCAATCTGTCTGGGATTATTGATGTGCTTGGATTTTTCATTTCCAAGTGGGCTGGGGTCCCCCCTCCCCCACTTAGTATTAACTGGAAAATGATCCTTTAGGCCTTTTAGAGAAAGTCTTCTTCAAGTAAAAAGCAAAGCATGAAGGTTTTCCTTTTGAAGGATGGCACTCTTGAAGATGCAGTGGCATGAAAGCAGGGGATTAAAATGAAGATGTAGCAGGCCAAATCCTGGGACCTTGAGCCCACTAAGGCGCATTTGTCAGGTGTCTGTGCCTTGCAATCTCATAGGCCAGGGGCTGGAAAGAAAGAAAAACTAAGGTTATCGATGCCATGTTCTGCACCAGGAGTTGGCAACCCCTGGCACATGTATCAGAGCATGGCAGGTGAAGACATTTTGCTTGGTACACCAGTGTGTGCCTCAGGGCTAATGACAGGGGAAGTACTTGCAAGGCAAGCCCCGGTCTGGTGATTCAGGGTACTCAGGCAAAGCACATTTCCCAGCCCCTGCCCCCACCCATCTCCAGCCCTGGCCTTTAAGGACTTTGTGCATCCAGCGGACGTGCCACCATCACCCCAGAGGCCAGTAGCTGGAGGTGGTGCTGGAGCTGCTCCCTCCGGCTGAGGGGGATGGAGGAGGGGCTGCCCGTTCTCACCTGGGGCTTGCTCTGCTCCACAGGGAAGGGCGCTGCGGTCCCAGTGCTGGGAGCTGTGCACTGTCTCGCTGCCGTCCTGCTGCTGCACATGGTGTTGTGAGCACGTGAAGATAATCTCTGTCTTCCTGCACAGGTGAGTTGAGTGGGGCACACGTGATGCCCATCAGGCTCTGCTGGCTCCTGCAGACCGAGGCATTTGCTCGCACTTGTCCAGCACCTTGTAATGAAGTGGGGTTGCATTTGCAGCCGGGGCATTGGGGGTCTCACATCAGAAGTCAGTTCATGCCTGGTCCAGAGCACCGACCCCTCCCAAACCCTGTCCCTAGAGAAAACCCCAGGGGAGTCTATGGGGTATAGAGACTTCATGGCCTTTCTATCCCCCCACCTCAGTTTTCCACCACCTTGCAGCTGTTGCAGTAATAGAGATGAGGTTCCCCTCCTCCAACCAGCTCCAGGGGGACCAGAGGAAGGAGCCGCAGGGGGAGGCTGGTGCTTACTGTAGGCCAGTGTTCAGTGTCACCGAAGTGCCCTGGCTTGAGCTGCTGAGATTGCAGCTGCGTTGCCCAGGTCAGAGTTTTGTCCCCAAAGGACAGTGAGTTCGTGCCCGGTGCGCTTGTGCCAATAAACACACAGGGGTGAAGGATCCAACTTAATCTTTATTTCTGCGCAGAAAGCGGTGCTTGGCAATCATTCACAAAGCAAGCACACCCCACCCCAGTGGGCATCAGCCTTATATAGCTACGTAACAGGTTAAACTTGCTGATGTGATGAAATGTGCAGCAAGCCCAGCAAGTAACCCCCCTTTTCCAACTCCACCCCCAAGTAACCCCCCTTCCAACCTTCCCCTGGGACTGTGTTGATACAGCTTTTCCTTCTAGCGAGGCCAGCAATTAGCAACTAAGCAACAAGCGATCTCCCCCAGCCTAAACAACCTACTCTATGCCCTTGGTTAGATAAAATACTTTTTCAAAACATACAAAGCTGTTCCTGGGGAAAAAACTAGTGAAAAGTTCAGAGGTACTCATCAAGAGCCCCAAGGGGAGCGTGTCCTGCCTCTCCCGGTCTCCTCACCCCAGGTGCAGGACCTGGCTGAGTGGGTTGCTGTATCAGGGACATGATTCTGGGGTCGTGGGCAGTGACCCATGGGGTCGGTCCCAATGGCAGGGATAAAGCCCCAGGGAGCAGTGGCCACGGCACCTTGTTCATGGCGTGGGGAGGGAAGAGCAGGTTGGCTGGCCTGGCCGCCTCTCGCCTCCAGTAACGCAGCTCTGCTTGTTTCAGCCCAGATGAAAATGCTGACTTGTGAGCCCGACCACTGAGGAGCCCGAAGTGCCTCTCGCTTCATCTTTCCAAGCACCTCTACGGTACGTGACCTGCCTGCTGCTGCGACTGCCGGGGCCCAGTGGAGTGGACGGTGGGGCGTCTGCCGAGAGCTGCTGGTTTAGGAAGTCTCCCCAGGACCTGGAAAGGCAGAAGTCCCACCGGAGAGGAGGCCTCAAAGTGATTTCTGTTGGAGGGAGGGGTTGTAGGGTAGAAATGCTAGTAGGGGAAGGGGTGTATGTGTTTTATGTGTGTAATAATACATTTTCTCCTGGTTTATAGAAAAATGGAGGGAGGGGGGAATTAATATGTATAAATTCATATAATTTTTTCCCCATATATTAGTGGAAGGGAAAACATTTATATGAATTTATTCATACTGGGGGGTGTTCTACAAACCAAGGGAAAATGCATCTTCCTCTGACGGACACGATTTCTAAGTCTATAAGGGCCTAAGAGAGCCTTGAGGACACTAAGACCCAACAAAGGTAGTAATTCCAACATGAGACTTATATATAAATCTTTAGCTATTGGTAGAAATAGACTTTTTTTTTACAAAAAATATAAATTTATACAATTGGATGTTAGGAAAAGTTCCTGCACTTTAATTTACCAGTCAAGTGTTTAAAATGGTACTACCACTTTATTCATAAAGTAGACACTTTTGAATGATTCCCAAATGCTGCTCCCAAGTTTGGGATGTAGCAATAAAGGCCATGCCAGGACCAAAGCAAGGATGTGGAGCAGAGGAGCAGGCGGGGAAAGGCTGCAGGTGGAGCTTTGTCACAGGACAGTGGAAGAGATTCATTGGAGACAATGGCCCATATCCAGGTCCACCTTGAGATGGGCCTGTAGGATCTAATGCAGGGGGAGCAAAATACAACCCACAGGCTGGATCTGGCCTGCCAACAGATTGGATCTGGCCCACATGTGGACAGCCACCAATTCATTGCATCTGGCTCACAGGTGGCTGGCAGGTCCAGGTGCTGTGTGGTGCCAAGTGGCTGGGCAAGCCTGTTTCCACCCAGCACCATCAGCCCAGCATCAGCTGTGGGCCTGAGCAGGGTTTCCACCGCAGCAGGTGGGTGGCGGTGTCAGCTATGGATACTGCTGGCAGATTCTGGGGTCAGAACCCAGAACCTGCCAGCTGTGTCCACAGCTGCTGCCGCCGCCCCCGCCCCAGCGCAGAGCCTCGACCTGGAACCTGCTGCTGGCATGAGCCGTGGCTGCAGTCAGGAGAATTGGCACGGAGAGAGGGCCTTAAGGAGATCACGGCCCTCCTAAAGGACGCCGCCGTGACAGCTGAAAGTTTAAAAAGTTCAAGGCCTAATGAGTCCAGGCAGAGCAGTTCAGTTGCTCACTGGAGCAGACCCAAATGTTTCCACTCAGGGACTGTTTCTTCTCATTGCTACCTCCATGTCCAATGGACAACTTCCAAAAACCACTGGGAGTACTATTTATAAATCTGGGTGTATGTGTGTTTTGTTGTTTATGTATCTGTGTGTGTGTTATAATTTATCATGGTTTGTATTAAAAAGGGAAGGAGAAATTGATACATATTACTTTTTTTCCCCCCCTCTCCCATTTTTCTGTGAACCAGGGGAAAATGCATCTTCCTCTGACAAACGCTACCTCCAAGTCCCTAAGGGCCTAAGAAAACCTTGAGGACACCAAGACCCCCCTCCCTAAAATTTCATAATTCTAACATATCTATCTTTATCTAGAGATAGATCGCTGTCTATCCAACTTCAATAAGCTAAGGACTTAGTGAGCAATGCCCTATGGGATTATGGACTGCAGGGAAAGAGCTGTGGGACCAGGGACCTTAGGTGAACGGAGTGGATGAAGAGTGGTCGTTCCTCAAGGACACGATCCTCGGTGCACAGAAGTTGTCCGCACCTCTACGGCAAAAAGGTGGCACAGCCGCCGGAAGTTCATCTTGGCTCAGTAGGGAAGTCCTAGGTCTTCTGAAAAAGAAAAGGGAGGCTTACCAATGATGGAGCTAGGCATAGGCCCCAAGGAGAACTACATAAGAATGGCCCAGACCTGCAGGGAGCAGATTAGAAAAGCACAGGTGGTGACCGAATTCAGGTTGGCAACCGAAATCAAGGACAATAAGAAGTTCTTCTATAGGTATATAGGCAACAGGAGAAAAACCAGTGGAAACGTAGGACCACTGCTCAATGCACCTGGACATCTGATTGCCAACACCAAGGAGAAAACTGAACTCCTGAACAAATACTGTGCATCTGTAGTCCACCAGCGTAAGACTGTATAGGCTGCCGAATGCAAATATGACACAGAGTTGCAGGAGGACTGATCACTTACCACAGTCAATGTAGAGCTGGTGAAAGAACAGCTAGGGAGGATGGATACCTATAAGTCAGCAGGACCAGATGAACTCCATCTGAGAGTGCTGAATGAACTAGCCAAAGTCATAACAGGACCGCTGGCCAACCTCTTCAGGAATTTGTGGCACTCGGGAGAGGTCCCAGAAGACTGGAAGAGGGCCAATGTTGTGCCCATCTTCAAGAAGGGAAGGAGAGAGGACCCAGGGAAATACGGGCTGATCGGGCTGATCAGCCTGACCTCAATCCCAGGAAAAATCCTTGAAAAATTTGTCAAGGAGTCCGTATGTGATTCATAGATGTTAGGGTCGGAAGGGACCTCAATAGATCATCGAGTCCGACGCCCTGCATAGGCAGCTGGGTCTAGATGACCCCAGCTAGATACTCATCTAACCTCCTCTTGAAGACCCCCAGGGTAGGGGAGAGCACCACCTCCCTTGGGAGCCCGTTCCAGACCTTGGCCACTCGAACTGTGAAGAAGTTCCTCCTAATGTCCAGTCTAAATCTGCTCTCTGCTAGCTTGTGGCCATTATTTCTTGTAACCCCCGGGGGCGCCTTGGTGAATAAAACCTCACCAATTCCCTTCTGTGCCCCCGTGATGAACTTATAGGCAGCCACAAGGTCGCCTCTCAGCCTTCTCTTGCGGAGGCTGAAGAGGTCCAGGTGCCCCAGTCTCTCCTCATAGGGCTTGGTCTGCAGGCCCTTAACCATACGAGTGGCCCTTCTCTGGACCCTCTCCAGGTTCTCCACATCTCTCTTGAAGTGCGGCGCCCAAAATTGCACGCAGTACTCCAACTGCAGTCTGACCAGTGCCCGATAGAGGGGAAGTATCACCTCCTTGGACCTATTCGTCATGCATCTGCTGATGCACGATAAAGTGCCATTGGCTTTTTTGATGGCTTCGTCACGCTGCCGACTCATGTTCATCTTGGAGTCCACTAGGACTCCCAGATCCCTTTCCACTTCTGTGCCACCCAGCAGGTCATTCCCTAGGCAGAAGGTATGCTGGACATTTCTCCTCCCTAGGTGCAGCACTTTGCATTTCTCCTTGTTGATAAGCTAGTAGAAGGCAAATTTCAGAATGACATCCAGCACGGTTTTGTTGCAGGTAGGTCCAACACTGTGAATTCGTGCTTCCATGCAAGCTGCAGCCCCGCTGCTCTGCAAATCTGTCGGGACATGGGACAGCTGGCCAAAAAGAACTGGCTCTGCTCCACCTCCACCTCCTTGCTGAAAGCATCAAATGCACAACTCTATTGCCTATGTCTGGATGGGGAGAGGAGAGGGCCAGTTTCACAGCTGCAACCTCCCTTCAGCACCAGGGGATGCAGCGGCTGCTGTCTACCCGCTGCATCCCTGTCCCCGTGGCAGGGCAGGGGCTGTGGCTGGGAGACACTAGGCACTTCATGCACTTACCCCGTTCACAGGGAAACTGTTAGTTCGACTATAAGGGCTAGGCGTTGAACGGGGCTGGCTCTGCAATTCCATTATGTTTATTAATAACTGAAAGTTAAAGGCCTAATGAGTCTGGGCAAAGCAGTTCAGTCGCTCGCTCGGCCTGACCAGCACATTTCCACTCAGGAACACGTTTCTTCCCAGTGTTACCTCGTGTCTAGCACACACCTGCCAAGAACCACTGGGGCACTGTTTATAAATGTGTGTGCGAGACGGATGTGTGAGTATGTGTTCTTATGTATGTGTGTTTGCATAGGTCTGTGTATATGTATGTGTGTATAGTATCTCTTACCCTGGTTTGTAGAGAAGTGGAGGGAGGGGGAAAAATTGCTATGTATAACATTGACGGGTCCCAGGGCCAATTAATCACTGGAACGGTCTCAAGGCTCGGTCCTCCATCAGTCCGGCCTTGGGAAGCAGGCTGGGGCCCGTGCGGACTTGCTAACACTGCTGAGACGTCAGCAAGGGAACGGGAGGAAGGGAGTTGCTGTTGGGGAGCCCTGCACTGAATGCTTGTCCTGCTTTTGTCCTGTTCATTTTCTAGCTGTTATATTGGGTAATAAAGTGCATTTGCCTCACTCTGGGCGTCTGATGGTGTCTGTCCCCCCCACCATTTGGAATAACGAAGGCAGAACTGAGTAGCATCTACCTGGCTGCGTGGCCAGCTGCTGATTTACCGACCCCTGGGAGGGGGACCTGGAGCCTTGCCTTGCCCTGCCCTGCTCTCCGCAGGCGGCAGCTGCTCTTCCTGTGCTCTGTCTGTGGCAGTGCAGCTTGGGCTGCTGGGCCCCCTAGGGCAGGCTCATCTGGGGGCAAATGCAGCCCAGTTTTGCCCCCTCCCCTCTCCCAAGGTGCTGCTGGGCGTGGGGTAGGTCTGTCCACCAGCTCCCAGGCTTCCCAGACTCCGTGGGGGGACATCACAGCTCATGGCCAGACAAGGAGGGAAAGGTTGGGAGTCAACCATGGAGTCAACCTCCATAGCCATGGAGGGGAGGGACAGCCAGCACCTGGGGACTTTGGGCTCATCTAGGGCAGAGTCCCTGCCTGCCCATCCCTGCTTGGAGACACCTCCCTAGGATGCTTACCTTGATGCCCACGGCCTGGGAGCATGAGGGCACCGAGCAGGGCTGGAAAGACTGCAGCGCCAGGGAGCTCAGGGAGGCTCAGCCCTTGGGACACAGCAGCATTTCACCTGAAGACCTGCCTCTCCCCTGCCCCCTCCCCAGTTTCCTGGCAGTCCCAAGTCAGGTCGAAGGGGATGCCTGTCAAATGATTTGGAGATGCAAAAATCTAGAACTCTTGGTTCAGAAATGATAGCTTTTATTAGACCAACTAGGAAACGGCAAAAAAAAAAAAAAGATCTTTTTCTGCAAGCTTTCGTGGTCAAAGGCCCTTCCTCAGGCTCAGGGGAAATGAAAGCTGGTCCATAGTCCCCATAGGTAGGAAAGGAGTGTGATTTTTGCACAGAGGGAGCTGGAGATGGAAGCTCGTCCCTCTGGGTCCACGAGTGTCTCTGGGAGCTGTTCTCAGTTGCTCCTTGTGCAGACCAGGTAGGATTCCTCCCGTGGATGTGGCAGGGGGCAGGCAGGGAGGGTTTAAAATCTTTCTTGTTGTTCTGCAATGAAATTTAAAATGTGACACTTAAACAAAGTGCCGAAGCCCATTCTGGTCACCAGGGACCTCCTTTTTTGAATTTTTATTTTTGTTTGGGGTTTTTTTTTTTTTTTTGTGGTTCTTACTGCAAGTTTCATCTTTCAAAGTGCAGCCGGTTTCAAGTGGGGGGCCCGGTCCTGTGTTGGGCGGCGAGGAAGGTGGTGTGGGGCCCCATCCAGTGGCAGGCTGAGTGGAGGCAGCGGGGAGCCCCATCCTGGTGCACGGGGTCCGATCCAGCCTGCACACAGGTCCTGCACCACTCCTCCGGCCTGCCGCAGCAGAAGGTGGAGCAGCCCGGAGCAGAGCCAGCGCGCGGCGTCGGGGGATTCCTGGAAGAAGGGGCCAGCCGTGATGTTGTGCAGCTCAGTGGGGGCTGGCGACCAGCCTAGCTCCCGGGGGCCGTGGGCAGCTGGGGTAGAAGCAGTCTGTGCCCCAAGGCTGGAGTCTGATGGAGTCAAGCTGGGATGGGGGAGCTGCCGTGTCTCCAGCATGTGGTCCAGGGGACACCCGTGTCCTTCACTGGCTGAACTGCTGGGGGAGACCTGTGCTGAGCTCTGGGGTGTGAGGGGTGGGGGTGGTCCATGGGTCTTTTTTTGCAGAGCCAAGTAGGTGCTGTTTGGAAAGTCCTGCCAACCCCGGTGGTTGGTGCCCCGCCAGCAATGAGGCCCAGCACGTCAATGCAATGCATGGGAACCAGCCCCACAGCGCACACGGGCACCGCAACCAAGGGAGACATTTAAAGCAAGTGTAACTGGCACTGTGTTCCCACTGAAAGTCCCTGGGACTTTGGCCCCAAGGGTTGCGCGTGCCTCTGAAAGTCTCTGTATGTCCTTGTCCTTCAGCTTCAAAGCCAAGAGGAGCTCTGAACTGATGGACTTGCCACAAAAGCTGCTCTCTGCTCTGGGCCTGCTGGAGTCCGTCCTGGGGCTACTGTTGTTCAGTGTCTCCATCAGGGACCTGGAAGATGGGGTGGGGGACACCCCAGAAAGTTTGCAGATGACACCAAGCTGGGGGGAGCAGTAGATGCACTGGAGGGCAGGGCTAGGATTCAGAGTGACCTCGACAGATTGGAGGACTGGACCAAAAGAAATCTCCCAAAGTTCAACAAGGACAAGTGCAAAGTCCTGCATTGAGGCGGGAGCAATCCCCTGCACCGGTGCAGGCTGGGGTGACGGGCTGGGCAGCAGCTCTGCAGAAAAGGCCTTGGAGGGACAGGGCACAAGAAGCTGAACAGGAGCCGGCAGTGCGCCCGCGTTGTGAAGAAAGCTAACGGCATCCTGGGCTGCGTTGGTAGGAGTGCTGCCAGCCGATCGGGGGAAGTGATTCTGCCCTTCTATTTAGC